TTCGTTTAATTACATTCTTCCATCATCTGTGAGACAAAATGCTTCAGTATTCCGTATTTACGGAAGCTCACAAGCACTGCCATGAAACAATCAACATACTATGCAAGGCATTGTCACCTACTCAAATTGATTAATCACCTATCGCTGATCATGTTATTTGTTTTATGCACAAAATTCCAATCGGATATTTACTTGCACTGACTATGAAGATACAGTACCACGTCATATCACACGTCTTTATCACATCAGTCCCGCATCGCATTCGTCTTCATTTACGCCAGTAAAATTCTCGTGAAATGAATGCCCCTTTATAGTCGTCACATTTACTAATACAAAATTTGATGATAGGCTACTTACGTTCTAGCTAAAACACACAGTTCAACTTCTATGCATGAATCGTTCCTCGTTAAGCAAGACTGCTCACGGTAACCTCTGAATTGTTGACATCTTGAAAATCACATGAGTCTTCACTTCCTGAATCAGCATCTAACATTTCCTCCTTAACCCTTCAAGAGGTATTCGGACAATATGTGTAGAAGAAATAAAACGCAAAACAGTAATAAAAAACAAATTAATTGTACTAGATTTACTAATTAATTCTCTGATATACTAACCATGTATTTAGCACCGTAGCATTTGGCATTATAATGTTGTTTTATTTTAAAACACCAACAAATTGTATTGTTTTTAGTCGAAAGATTAATGACGCCCTCTCGTGGTACGGAGGGGAAATTTTAAACTGAGATGTGGTAAGTGGGTAAAGTTTTGTCTTTCAAATTTGATGATGTGATGAATTCGGGTACCGTACGGATCAATTACGTAGATACAAATATTAAAACACACAAAGAGTGTTTAGATTTCAGGTAATATTGTTTGAATTACCATAGAATGAATACAACCGGCAAACTATTTAATTATATTATAATTTAATATTCAATAACTCAGTATAAACAGGTAGTTTGCTCTCGAGATTTCAGTGCAAAGAGGTTTCTTTAACTTGAATGTATGTGTATTCAGAGATTTCCTCAATACATTTTGTAAGAGAACGTAAAACAGGATTTAAGGGACTACAAATTATGTACCATCATCTCAAGTGTGTATAATAACTAAAAGATCGAAAGATTTATCTTATGCTCTTGCGCTGCCATGAATGATTACAGTTCATAAATACATTTCAGAAAGAGATATCCCATCATGACATGTGCATCCATATTAATAAAAACAGTTATGGTAAGAGTCACTGTGATCTGGAGTCAATCCCAGAAACGTGTATTATTCTGGAGCAGTGGGAAGAATTTGTCTTCTTTATTAGAAATGACAATATAAATTAAAACAGAACTTGAGATTTTAAAATGGAATCATTCTCAACATTTCTCATTAATGGATGTCATCAGCAGTACAAGGATGGTACTGGTTCGAGAGAAACTCTGGACTTTTTTAGCATACTTTTTGCAAGGCATCATTTCTCAGGACTCAGAAATATTAAATGTTATATTTTATGACCCTGGGATGGCACAATGGTCTGATGGTTAACACAACTGCCTCCCAGTACTTGGATTCTGGGTTCAATCCTGGGTTGAGACATGTTATGCGTAGAATTTGCATGTCTGTCCTTTTTCTGCTTGGCTTCTCTCCAGGCACTGTGGTTTCCTCCCACCTTCCAAAGACATGCAGGTTAAGTTTGATCAGGATTCACCCAGTTTCTATTGACCAACAGAATATGCCTTAAAATGTACAAGATACATTGATATAAGCTTTTATAAAGAGCATGCATAGAAAGCTAATGGATCCAGAAACATAACTTTGAAAGTATGCTAGTAATTATCACTAAGGTGAAGACACAAGAGACACAATATACCTCCCCAAAAAGTTAAATTTGGTCACAGTCAGTGTAGGAGGTTTGAGATGGTGGTAACTACCACTTAAGAACATAAGCCCATAAGAAAGATTACAATCAAGAGGAAGACACATGAAGAATGCCAAAATACTAACTTCAACCACTTGACTGGGTAGCTTGTGGCTCTTTGGCTAAGGATCTGCGCTTGTGGCTGGAAGATTGCCGGTTTGTATCCCACAGCTGGAAGAAGAATCCTACTCCGTGGGACCCCTGAGCAAGGCCCTTAACCCAACTGCTCCAGGGGCGGCATATAAATGGCTGACCCTGCAGTCTGATCTCAAGCTTCTCTCCCTGTCTGTGTGTCTCATGGAGAGCAAGTTGGGGTATGTGAAAAGACAAATTCCTAATACAAGAAATTGTGTATGGCCAGTGAAGTGATCTTATCTTGTTCCTAAGAACATACCACATATTCTCAGTTTTAAATGCATTTCAGTGTGCAGTAGTCTCCACTTTTGTTCCCTGGTCAGTGTTTCACTGTTCATTTTGAAGAAGCCCACTGCATTGATTTTGTCGATGCCTTTGAGGAATATGTATCAGTTCCCCTTTATAATCTTCTCTGTTCAAGAATAAAAAGTTTCAGTTCTTTCAGCCTGTCGGTGTACAATGTTCCTTGCTTCCTTGAATTCATCTGGTTGTTCTTCTCCCAAGTGATTCCAGAGCAGCAATGTTTTATTGCAACATGGCGACCAAAAGTGTAAACATTATAAATGACATCTAACTAGTGAATTACATAGTTTTAATATTCTGCTCTTTAAGAACTGTAAGAAGGGTGTCTTATTATAGGTAGACTATGAGTTTGATTTTGATGATTGTTTTGTCTCTTAGTTTCTCCATTAATCGGCTAAAAAGGTTTCTTCATGGTACAACACTACAAAGAGATATCTCAGAAGACTTCTGCAACAGACATTCAAATTGATCTGTGTGTATTCACAGAGCTAGAACAGAAAGACTTCTTGAAACCACTGTAAGAAGAATCTAAATAACAAAATAAAACAACAGTAGTAATTTAATTCCTTTACCTTTTGAATGAGATTCAAACTAATAATGAAGAGGCTCCTCTAAGTACCCATGTACCTGCTTAAGAGAACAGAAAATTCTGGTTCTTTAAACAGAAATATATAAAAAGTTGAACATTGAACAAATCTCTCTACAATTCTGAACTACAACACTCAACACCAGAATTGATGCTTGATATTTCAGAACCACTTCTGGACCCTTGGAAACACAGGGCTTTCTGAGTGTAATTGCGAAATATTGTTCCACCCACCACCTTAAAAGCACCGATATGGTTTCTCTCATTAGTTACTTCAAATCCAAGTTGTAATCTTGCCAGTTGACAGCACTGTGCTTGAATTCCAATCCAATGCCCTTTAATGGGAAAGTACTAAAAAACGTAACTGAAATTTTTTTAATTGTTTTTTTTTTCTAGGGTATTTTGTCTCAAATAACACAATTACATAACTTTTTTCAAAACTGTGTGTTTATTTTCCATTTTACAAACTGTATCCCACAGGATATGGTGCCCATTTGGGGTATACATCCGAACTGTTTTTGGCAACTGCTCACATAGTCAAAAAAACCATAAAACCATTAAAACTCACTTATTTTTCTGTATTTCATTAAAAAATATAAAATCTTACCAAACATGAAATACACCCTTGTCCCGACTTGCTTTGGTGTTTAAAAAATTACAACTGGTGTTAAAACTTAAAACTTACAAGTTACTCAAGTGTTAAAATATTTATCATATAAAAACCCCAATTCATTTGGGCCCAAAATTGCAACAGTTCATTGTTTGTTAAATATCGGTACTATGGACCCGTCCTTATGTTCAACAGTATCTCATCGAAGATGGAAGCTCCGGAAGCAGTTGCGTGCATTTTGTCCAGTGACAATGCAAAGCCTCACATTACACTTCTCACACATGATGGAGGTCTGTCCATCTCCCTTTCACAGACACGATGGGTAGTGGCTGTTTCCATCATAGCACATTTCATCTATAGGCTGTGGGACCTTTTTGCTGCTTGACAACCCTCACTGGTGCATCATTCTCATTTCCTAGGGAAGGCTGGCCTCTTTTTTGCTTTTCTGGATAGATGAGACCTTTGGCAACATCTAGCCTGAAATCCTTTAGTTTCTTCAGCTTTACTGGACCAATTGCTGTTGCATCATGCCGATAGAGCAACCATGCATTATTGACAGCAATGTCTATCAGTTGCCAGAATATGCAAAGGTACCACCAATGGGACTTGGCTGGAGTGCAATATAATGCAATCATCATGTCAGCCAAGTCCACACCTCCCATGTGATGTATGTATTCTGCCACAATCTGTGGACATGGGACAGATATCTGTCTTCCCTTCTTCTTTGAGAAGTGCTTCACTTCACCCACAGGCATCACAGAAGCACATGTGCTCATCAAGGTGACTGTTTTGTTGTCAGCCCATTTGACTATTGCAAGCTATGCATCATTGTCAACTCGGTAGTCAAAACTACCTCTTCAGTAGTTCTCGATCATCTTCCAGTTTGCAGCCCATAAAGCGATTCTTTCGAATGGTTCCCAAACGTCTGAGGACCATGGAATCCTTCAAATAGGTTAGCAAGCTGAGAGATGTGAAGAAGTTGTCAAAGTAGACCACACAGTCAGGAAGGTTTCTGATGGTTTTGCATACATTCATGTAAGTGCACACACACTATATAGTGTAACTTTATCAACAGTATCCTATTTATTGGTTTACATCACCTAAATTTCTTAATTTGTCTGGACGGGTGTCCTCCTTCTGCTGCCTCATCACTACAGCTACTGTCACTACTGCTGTCCTCACTGCTGCTGCTACTATCTTCTCTTAGGCCTTCTGCATATACATAGGCTTCATCATCTTCCTCACTTATCCCTTGCTCTGAATCTGAAGAGCCATCAGGTGGCAAGACTACTGGCTGAATCCCTCTCCTAGGCCTACTATAAAATATCTTTGTGGAAATTCCCTGAAATAGTTAGTAAATTATATTAAGGTTAATCAATAATGCACCTTTATGTGATTTAATAATGAAAAAATAGCATTTCATTTGTTGTTGTTATTTAATATCTAATAATTATGGCCTTTAAAGAACAGGCACCCATAGTGCTAGTAATGACTGTTTTATGGTTAGTGAAGTCTTCTCCATCTTCCATCATGACAGTTGCTCAGATGAAATCACATGACCTAAGTCCTTAACACATGACTCCTTCGTATGTATTCATTGGATAAAAAAAACACATGTTCCTAGCCCCTCCCACAGCTGGTCAAAATGTCTGTATCCAGCAGGATACAATAGTCATTATTTGAGCTGCTTTTTGATACTAGATTGACTTTTGAACTAAATGTGCAAGAGATTGTAAAGATATCACCATACTGTGTTGTCTATAGTAGAAAACAATGCTTCATGCTTTTTTGACAAGGATAATTTTCAAGAAATATTTCAATGTCTTTCTTGCAAGTGTCTCTAATACTACATTTAGCAGGTTAAAATTTAACTACAATGATCCTGGCTAGGTTTTGTTCAAGTGATTGCATTATTCCTGTCTTGGAGTCAGATTCTGAGTTGATTTGGAAATCTTTCTCTTGATATTCAAGGCTCTGTATGGTATAGATGCCTAATACCGAATACATTTGTTAACTTCACTTCCTGTGACCTTTCCTCAGCTGATTCTGGATTATTACATGTTCCTACTGTTCATCTTCACTCTTTGGGTGATAGAATCCTTTTGTTGTTGTGCATGAAAGGTCTAGACACCACCTGAAAAAAAAAACCCAAGAGACTCAACCCACTAGGGGCTTTTACATCCACATCTAGCATAAAGGCTTACTTTTTTTAAAGTAAGCTTATTTGTGATTATTTTATCTTTCGTATCTGCTTTGCATTTTTCTAGATTTTAATTTTATTGTGAAGTACACTTTTGGTGTATTCTAAAGCTCTTTGCGATAATAGCTTTTAAATCTATTGTATAAAATACAGTTTATTATTATGATTATTGATAGCCAATAGACATGAGGGCACTAATTCCGAGAGTGTATTCACATGCTATACACAATAGGTATGATTTTTGCTGTGGGGAAAATTACCCAACAATTATTTTACTGTGGAAATATTAAACAATATGCCTTTATAGTCTGAAATGAAAATACATTTCTGAGAAAAAAAAACATCTATGCAATCAAACACAGACTATACAGTGTTATAAACTATACATTGTCTAGTCTAGTTAATATTTTTAAGTACAGTAAGTGCTTTCTGTAATTTGACCAGTATGTCATGCTTATAATTAAGTTGTGTATTTTAAAATACACAGTATGCACAGTTTACATCTCATTTACAAGAAAAAATAACTTTTTTTTTGTTTATTCATCTCTGGCTTCATCATTCATTATTTTTTTGTTCTGTTCTTTAGGTCCCATTTTTTATGATACTGTACCACCCAAATGTCCTTTTTGCTTTTTTGGAAGCATTTTTGTTGCTTATTAAACATACTGAAAACAGCCGTGCCCTATATTTTGGCTCCTCCATGAAAACACCAGGACATACACCCTGTCCTTATGCCACCTGCTCTGTGGATAAACACGGGCCTTGAGTTTCCATGGGAATCTGTTCAGCGTCATTCACATGCAATTAAAAACATTTACCAAATGTTAAAAATACAACAATTGACCTCACTGCTCTTGTATAGCTTATCACGTGTTTTGGAAACCACTCTTTTCATTCTTCTCTGATTCTGTCTGCCTTGCTCTTCCTGAAATATTTAGACATATATATTAAAAAGAATATCAGTTTTTCAAATACTTTCTGTGTTCCTGTTCATTGATTTTTTCTTGACTATGAATGAAATAATGAGTAACCCTTTCATTCTAAACCAAGGAAAATGAAAGAAAAGAGTATATCTGTGCTATGGAGGGCAATCTTTTCCTTTAGTATAATTTCCCTCTATATTAACAACCAGCATGACCATCAGGCTTGCATACTGTGTGACTCAATCTTGCATGGCTGTGGAGGTTGATCCTTTGCATCACGTGGATAGGGCCAGCATCACTAGTTGAGAAGCAGCTGGGAGGTGGCAAGCCTTCACTATGGAGCATCGCGTTTGCAGCGCTTTCTGACTGAGCGGTGTTCAGACACATTCCATAGGGACAACTCTCCAAACGCACAGGTAGGCGAGTCAGTACGGCTGAATCGATGCGAACCGCGCAGAAGCTGCTGAAAAGTACAGAACCAAAAGGTCAGAAGAGCCCCCAAAATAGGCGAATACTCTCCCGTTTGCTAAAAGTGGGGTATGTTGATCCTAACCGAATAATTTCTTGAGATGCACTGCTTCTGTTAAAAAAAAAATGAATATGAAAATAATAAATCAATGATGCATTAAATTAAACGTATTTTAGCGTTTTATTTCAGTGAACGAAAGACAGATAACAAGAAGAAAACTAAACTGCAACTGATTTTCACCACTATTACTGGAGGACCGTGTGTAAGATGCCTGTGGAATTGTAAGCAGGTGATGCATTTTCAGCGGGGGCGGCGTTGCATTAGATGCCTTATTTTGTACACCGGGAAGCGTAGACAATTACATCTTAACCTGTATATTATCTTCCACGTATTGAGGGAAAATACAAAATATCAAAAAAGCAATTAAAGTGTGCAACAGAGATTACGATATTTTTTGTTCTGCTGAACAAAGGGAAGAAAATGTTCAATGAAAACGCATCTCGTTGCCTTCGCGGATAGGGTTAAGTTGAATGAGTTAATGGATTGAAACTAGGTTAGAAGCGCACAAGGGTTTAAATGTATAATGAAAAGAAAGACTGGAACTGATTCCTAAGATTTCTTAACTATACGGAGTAACTTCATAGAGATAACAAGGAAAGACTTTTATTTTCGCAGTGTCCGTTTATTACGAGAAAATATGACTGGAAACAGTCATACGAAATACATGGTCTTGCGTTAATGCAGTTTAAGAATGCAAAGCCTTATTCTTAACAGTTCATATACACACGATGCTAATTTCCTTAATTACACATTTTCTTTGATTAGGTTTTGATGTGCTCCAGCGAAGTAATTATTTCGATGAAAGCACTTAATGTGTACCTGACCAGGTATTGCCTCCGTTCACAGATGTTTGCAAAATAGTCAAATGGAGGAACGGCCTTGCTGGCTCAATCTCTCCTACGTATTA